ATTCGCATAGGAGTGCATTGAGTTCCCCACTGTCTTTCATCTGAAGCACCTAACTCCTGCGAGATAAAAGGAGCGAATTTGTTGTCCGCGGCAGTTGCAGTCTCGCAGCCAGGTGCCATGACCTACACTCGACACATTGCATGCAAAAGTGTGCAACCGTCTTTGTGATTGTACTGAATGCATAGTCTTGGATGATCAGCGTCTACTCCTGCAGCTTCCATCTCCGTATTTTGTTTCCGTTGACTTGCGCCAACAACTTGCTGTCTACAGCAGGGGACAGCTATACTGCCTTATCCCTATACACACACAGCAGGTAATCACCACCGGGTAGCGCTTCTTGATGGTCGATTTCTGAACGTTTGGTTGAAAGGCTTGGCCCCAACCTGTAACGAACTGAGGAAAGGATACATTTTTAGTAGTAACAAATGAACCATGTCCCCCAAGTATTGCTAATCAGGTACGTATGGGGCGAGTAGTTCACGTTGGAAACCAAAGACTTTTCACCTCCCGGGATGAACTCTATGATCCAGGACGTTATAACCATCCTCGCCTCGCCCGGATGTCTTGCTGAGGTGCAATGGCGGTTGCACCTCTATTCCGATGGATGAGTGTCCACCCCCCTTCCAATGGGAGAGAGCAGTCGGTCAGAGGCCATCTCCTCCAATTATTAGATGCATTCTAGGATTTAGCACATTATTTCAACTACTAGCTGCAATCCAGCCCATCATCCGGCAAGTACTTTTTCCGGTAAGCTGAGCGATTGTAACTACTGGTGGTACTTCCGAAAACCTTTGCTTAAAGGCCCCGCCTACGGATACCATGCTCAAAATGTTATTCCTTATTGATGAATCCCCATCCACAGCTTCAAGATGTGAGCTTTGTCATGGAAATGTTCCATCATATCGAAGATTGACAAAGGCTTCTACCGAAGAGCTTCGTTATTTGCAGTATGCTGAACATGGCTTTCCACCACTGTAGTTGTGCATCGTGGCTTCTAAGCTTTTGAGGGTAGACTGCTGATAACTGCTGATACAGGTTGAGAGAGCCCAAGGAATGCAACTGAATATTTAACCAGCTTTTCAGTTATCATGGTGTATCAACGCTTGTTATGCCTGAGGTGCAGAATTTGCCAAGCGAAGCGTAATGGTAAGTAGAACGACCACACAAGAGGCCGGGCGAACGTGGTCTCAATACAGGACAACGGGGGGACAGTAGGGAAGAGGTGGAATCCAAGACCACACGCCAACAAGTTGCTCGGTCGATGCCCAAAAAAACGAGACCAACTCTATACGGACTCAAGAGCTCTCATTCCTCTTCTTGGTTTTCTCCATGGTCCCATCATCCCCCAGTGCGGTGACAATAATATACACATCACTTTGCACACTACAAGTAACACATTTCAATCACCGTATCGTTTACACGCCCGATGTTACGGATATGCATGATATGCCTCTCACGTATTGCTCCGCACCCAGCAAGATACACTTTGAGTCTCTTGAAGCGTTCACTTTAAATATAATACATGTAGAGAGCACAAATGGTTTTCAGTTCGTGGCCCTTCACCGTACGCTATCCTGCCTCAACTAGAGTCGTTGGGATCCCATCAAATACATGATGCAAACGACGGAATAGAACTCTTTTCCACAGCAAACCTTCCTTCTACCTCCCCCCATCTACACTACTCTACATTGCTTTACAAATATCTTCTGCTGCTGGTCCGCCAGGCAGCAACCTTCAACCTTGAAGGTCCCAAAAGAAACCAAACAAGCCATCCCTATAACCACACTAATGTGACTCCAACCGTCCAAGACGTCGTTTGCGATCGTCGTCCTGCTGGCCATTTGCTTCTTGTTGACCAAAAGATCATGACGATATACTCGGCAGCACCGGGAAATGTAACGCCGCTCAAGTCACCCATCCCATCAATGCACTGGTCTCGCGTCCCAATGCGAGGGACACACATTCCCCCTCCTCTCCGCGCCCACACAACTACAGCCCTCCATTCCAAACTCTACGTATTCGGTGGGTGCGACGCCAAATCATGTTTCAACCAGCTCTGGGTATTCGATACGGAATCCTTATGGTGGACCCGGCCAGTGGTGAGGGGGTCTGTTCCGCGTACCGTGCGAGCGCATGCGGCATGTGTCATAGCGGACCGGTATATCGTTTATTTTGGCGGTGGGGACGGCCCGGTGTATTATGATGGAGTGTATGTGTTGGATACGGTTGAGATGGCTTGGCATACGCCGAGGGTCAGTGGGGTGGCGCCTTCTGCGAGGCGGGCGCATACAATGTGGGTTTGGGAGGGGGATGTATATGTGTATGCGGGTGGGGATGGTGTGAGGGCTTTGAATGATGTGTTTGTATTGAGGATGGGCAAGAGTGGGTTTGGGGATTCAAAGCGGGGGGATCCGAGAGGTTTGAATGATGCGGGGCCAGATGCGAGACATGGGGAGACTCTAGAAGACAGTCTTGTTGTTGAATGGCAAGTGGTGGAAACGCGGGGACCTGTCCCATCTCATCGGGGTTACCACACCTCGACACGCATCGGCCACACACCTCATGTCCTCGTGTACGGCGGGTCAGACGGCCACGAATGTTTTTCCGACGTGTCCCTCCTCGACATGCAAACCCTCACCTGGAAATCCATCTCCCTCGACCGAGCCTTCCCGCGCCTCTCCCACACTGCGACCCAAGTGGGATCCTACCTCTTTGTTCTAGGCGGACACGACGGAACACGATACGGCAACGAAGCACTATTGTTGAATCTTGTGACCATGAATTGGGAGACGAGGAATGTGTGTGGGAGTGGGCCTGAAGGAAGGGGGTATCATTCTGCATGTTTGGTGGATTCGCGGGTATGGGTGTTTGGAGGGTATGATGGGACGAGAGTGTATGGGGATATGTGGGTGCTCGAGTTGAGTGCGAGTGCGTATTTGCCTCAGATTACTGCTTTTGAGGTGGGATGTGGAGATGACGTCCTGTGATGTGCAGTGTGCAATGACGTCCGGTGAGGTGTGGTATCCACATACATGCAGAACATGTGCACAGGCACAAAATGCGCACACAAGTGTAAGTGATTGGGATGTATCTATAGAATAGAGAATGGTTTCCTCGAGTTCACAGTCGGCAAGGGATTCATCCTCCCTGATAGCACAACTTCCCTTCCTTCTTTCTCCATATACAATAAAGGATCAGACACATCTCTAGGACGAATGTCTAATCTTGTAGTTGCGTTCATGGAGGAGGTGTGCAAAGGCAACGGAATAGCAAGTCATTGGCAGTGGAAAGAAAAGTCGGAGATGCAAAGAGTCCAAGCCCCATTAGATGACTGTGCCACACACAAATGCTCGCTTGCTGCAAGTTGCTCTTGCTTTGTTTCCATCCAGACGATCATGTTGGGAGGCTCGCAGGTATTTTTATTCGTCATTACACTACATGACACACCTTTTCACATTTGCTTTGTTACGTTCAGGATGCCCCTGCGCACTCTCATCAACGCGCACAAAACGAACGCTTACGCCTATTACTCGCCCGCGCAAGCATCTACTCTTCTTTCCTCGCAGACAACCTCGCACAACGACAACTCTCATGTGCCCAGGGCAACCGCATGTCCCTCTCTACATCTTCAGAGAATGTCGTAGCAGAATTCTCTGACCCTGACCCAGAACCTCCTGCCCGCGTCACACGGCGAAAGGGTGCCAGACCAAAGAGGCATCCACGCGTTCAACCAGATCGACCCGACAAGGTGCAAGAGGATCGCGTGCATGAGGTGCTCAGTGAGGGGCGGACAAAGAGACAACCGAGTCTTGTCACGGGTGGTGAAATGAGAGAGTATCAGTTGGTGGGCATGGAATGGTTGATTAGTTTGTATGAGAATGGGTTGAGTGGGATCCTTGCCGATGAAATGGGTTTGGGAAAGGTATGTTGCCGATCCACGCCAAAGGGTGGGATTTTTACAAAAGAAAGAGGAGTGGATTGCCATTCACGTCGAGCATTTGGGAGCCAATGTGGTGATAACCAACGAGGTGTGATACCGTACTTTTTTATTAAGAAAAGAGATGGGCCGGGGATCCGCGCGTTAGCCTGGCGATCGCCAATGGTGAAAGGATGACTATAGACTTTTTTAGCGATCAAGCATCTCCTTGACGTCCAGCATGGATCACAGTGCTGATTAGAATTACAGAGGAATGCCGAGCTAGGGATCCGAAGCGATCATGTATGATTGAATGCAAACGCTCAACGTGACCTTATGCAAACAGAGAGGGATGGCGCCGTTTCGAGGGTTATGCCGATCGGGATCTAAAGTAATGGCTTTCGCCTGCATTATCGTTTGATCATTCCTCTCTTAGTGTCTCCCTCGACTCGGCAGCACGCCCTCTCAATTCACTTATCCCCACTCTAACGTACATATCCCCCCGACACATACAGACCCTTCAATGTATAGCGTTCCTCGCCCACCTCTACGAAGTCGGCACAAAGGGCCCCTTCCTCATTGTCGCCCCTCTCTCCACCATCACCAACTGGGTCGCAGAGTTTAAGCATTGGGCGCCTAGTATTCCCGTCGTGTTGTATCATGGGGATAAAGTCGAGAGAGGGTGGTTGAGGAAGAACAAATTTGGGGTTGGGGTTGTTGTTACGACTTTTGAGGTTGTTTTGAGGGATCGAACATGGCTTCAGGTGGGTTATTTTTTTGAACACTGCTGTGAGCGGTGGGTGGGCCGGTGGGGAATCGTCGCGAGGGGAAAAATAAAGAAACGCTTGAAAAAAGCATCAAACGGAAATGAGCATGGGCCGGTGGGTGAGGAACAGAGTGCTCTTGCGGTAGAGGGGCATTGGGAGAAAGCAGTACCGCGTATCTGCACGATTGTGGTATTGTGTGCGCATACAATAGTGCTGAGTGGGGAGTGCACTATACCCGTCTTGCGACACAGTCTAATACTCACATGTTGATTAGAACTACACGTGGACATACATTATCATTGACGAAGGACACCGACTCAAAAACCTAGACTGCAAACTCATTCGGGAATTGAAGCGGTATCCGGCTGCCAATCGGTTACTACTCACTGGAACACCGTTACAGGTAAACTTGTCCGCGTACCATTGTGCAAAAGAAGAAGTGTACAAACAACGCAGCCATCTGGTTTTTTCCTAGAACAATTTAGAGGAACTTTGGTCCCTACTTAATTTCGTCATGCCTGAAGTCTTTCATGATCGGTCATTGTTTACGTCCCTATTTTCCACCCCTACCGACACACCCGACACACCCAACAAAGACACACCCGACACGGACACACCCACAGAGAATACAACCGACACAACAAGCCTCCCAACCCTCCACGCCATCCTAAAACCCTTTTTGCTCCGTCGCATCAAATCCGAAGTTGACCTCTCCATCCCACCTAAACGCGAGTGGATCATTTACTGCCCGTTAACGACCATGCAAAAAGAATTGTATGATGCGGTTCGGGAGGGGAGGTTACGTGAAAAGGTTGTGGAGCTGTTGATGGGGCGTGATGATCTTGGTATGTACTGGTGTTGCTTGTTTGTTTTATGCGGCGTGATGGGACTCGAAAATTTGAATGTGTTTTTCTTGTGTTTGTATAGATGAGAAAGACTTTGTGGATTTGTCAGATGATGTGGATCAGGATGTCGTTTTAGCGGCGGACCTTGATTTTGAGCAGACTGATGGTACGTGTCCGCGGTTTGTGTGGATTTGTGTGCATGCGTTTTTTTTAATGTGATCGTGTAGGTGTACGGCGGGTAGTGAAACGGTTTCGAGAAGAAGATGAGGATGCGGATATCGAAAAAGCGCATGCCGTTCGTGTGTATTTCTATTGTGGTTTCTTTTTTTTTGAGTATGCTGATGATGGATATGGTTCTAGAGGTTACAGTCAAGTCCCAAAAGCTCCAAAGCCCCATCATGCAATTCCGTAAAGTATGTAACCACCCCTTCCTATTCTTTGGTCACCAAGACGAGACTCCAGTTCCCACCAGCACCAGCACCTACCTCCCCTTCGACCCAACCCACTCCACTCAGCCCCTCATTACCCTCTCTGGTAAATTCCTCACCCTCGACCGCCTCCTCCCTCACCTCCTCCCCACCCACAAAATCCTCCTCTTTTCCCAAATGACACGCACACTTTCCCTCCTCTCGACATACCTCTCACTCCGTCATATCCCCCATTGCAGGCTAGACGGCTCCACACCTCTCGAAGTCCGTCAAACTGAAATCCACCGTTTCACCCATACAGATACCCCAATCTTTTTATTATCGACGCGCGCGGGAGGGTTAGGACTCAACCTCACTGCAGCGGATACAGTCATCTTGTTTGATTCCGACTGGAACCCGCAATGTGACCTTCAAGCCATGGACCGTGTCCACCGGATTGGACAAACGAAACATGTGTTGGTTTTACGGTTTATTTGTAAAGGAACCGTTGAGGAACGGGTTGTTGAGTGTGCCAATCGTAAAAGGAAATTGGAACGGGTGGTTGTTCATGAACGTATGTTATGTTTGTGCTTTTGTGTTTTTCAGACGCTTTGTATAACCTTTATTATTTTGTAGGGCTGTTCAAGGGCACACATCAAGATTTTGTGTCGAATACGAGTGTACCGGATTCAGAGGTGTTGGGGATTTTAAGGGAGCGGGTTGTGGTTGATGCTGTTGGGGAGGGCTTGGTGACGGACGAGGAGGTTCAGAGGGTTTTGTGTCGGGATTTCAGTCAGAAAGCAACGTCCAGTGGGGATGGAGGGCATGATGGGGGGAGGGTGAGGATGGTCTAAGTGTTTTTTCTTGGTGGTATTGTTTTTATGTACTTTGCTTATTGGTGTATCGGTCACTTTTGCTGTTGCTCTTTTGGCGTACTTGTAAAACAAAATGAATGTGCAAGTCTAAACAGTTTTATTCGTACTCGTTTCTATCAAACATCTATGTGCTGTGCTAGTGACGTTGCGCATAGTGTGGCCGTCTTCTAAAAAACTCTACAGCGTTCCCAGCGGGCGCACCACTCTCACCACCCACCTTGCTCACGCACAACTCGCACGACCTCTTCCAACCCTACCCGATCCTCCTCAGTAAATCCCCCAACATCCCTACAATCCACATCCAAAACCCCCACCAAAACCCCGTCAACAACAACCGGGACAACAATCTCACTCTGACTGGCGGAATCACATGCAATATGTCCCGGAAATGCATGCACGTCGGGAACAACCACTGTTGCCTTTTCTCTCGCCGCTTTACCGCACACACCCTTTGAGAATGGGATTAACGTACATGCGACTTGCCCGTGAAAAGGGCCTAGGTAGAGTGTATCGGGTTTTGCGGCCTTGTGTGTGCCCGTCAGATAAAAACCGACCCAGTTGATGTTGCGGGTGGGAGGGTAGGCATGGTAGAGGAGAGCAGCGGTGTTGGCGAGGTTGGAGGTAATGGGGAGGGAAGGGTCGAGGAGGGAGACGAGTTGGGTAACGAGGTTTGTGTAGAATGGAGTGGTCATGATGAAAAAGTTACGGACGTTGTTACTGGTAGGCGAAAACAAGTCTCTGGTCAACTCTGTAAATGACAATTGCTTGACGAAGAGGATTGGGGGAAAGCAACGTTGGAAAGAAAATGTTTGAAATGAGGAATCTTGAGCTTTTTATAAACTGTTTGCGTGCGGTGGGCAACAAATCGCGCGAGATCTTGACTGGACTCGGTAGATCACATTTTGGGCCATCAACCATCTTGCACCATGTCGTCGTCGTCGTCGTCGTCTTCGTCCATTGCATCACTCCTCACACCCCTCACGGCAAACCTCCACATTCCACCCACCCTCCACCACCTCAAAACATTCATTCCATCAAGCACCCGCGGAGACCTCACCCGAATCTTTCACGTAAACTCTCAATGAATTGCATTGCATGGTTTTTGCGTTATGTTCTCATTTCTTCAAAAAAAACTAGTAGTGGTGCATATCCCACTACGCCCGCACAAACACCACAGACGCATTCTCGACATGCATCCCAAAAAACCTAGTTCAAACGCATCCCGCCGTCAACGAGATTTATGTATTGACATTATCGGCCAGTCTTGCTCACGAGGGACTCACAAAAGTATTCTTCAAGGTAACGTTTTTACACTTTTGCCATCTACAGTTTTGATCATAAGGTTTATTTGGGAAAAAAAGCTCCTCGTAGAAGGCCCTCCGAAATTCATTTGGCTCGTACCTTACGCACTCTCAACAACCGAGACGTTGATTGCATTTCATACGTACATGATGGAATCCTACAACAAACGAAATACTATTTTGGAAAACCTTGATAAAGCATTGTAAGTTGCCCCTTCCTCCAACGCTTGCATACATGAATATGCAAGACGGTACACTAACAATGTTGCGTGTAGTGTTTTGGGACCACTGGATACGCTGTTAAATCATATATTCAGTTACCTCCTGACGAGGTGGTCGCCAAAAGTTTTGGAGAGTTTGAAAGAGTGTTTGGATGTGTATGCGGCTAGGAGGGGTAGGTTCACCGTTGTAAAATGCTTTTTTTTTCTGCTCAATGCGTTTGTCAAAATAGATGAAATGTTAATGGATATTTTGATTTTGTAGAAAAGTATGTGGTGGGGTACTTGGTGACGCTCACGGTGATTTGCCCCACGTTTCTTGAGCGTATGTGTTTTGTCATGTTGTTTGCTTTCATATCTGATGGTCGTTCCTAATGTTGTCGCTGATGGTTCAGAATTTGGAAATGAATTGGTGGAGATGGTTGGGATGTATGTTGAAGGTATGTGCGGGGGTGGGCAAGTAAAGGGTGCTGGGTAAGTTTTTAGTGTGTCTCCAAAAAGGTGTTTGGTTGTGATGAATCTCGTCTTTTCTCACTATTCCGTATTCATCAATATCCGCCATACTACGTTGAAGTCCACCCGCATTCCTCGACGACATCCTCCCCCCCTACATCCACTACCTCCTCACCAAACACCCAACCCTCACACCTCCCATCACTCTCCTTCTCTCCCGAGCATCTAATTCCCCCTCTTCCTCACCCCTGGCCCAAACCCTCCTCTACAACACTCTCCAAACCATTCTAAAAGACCTAACCCAAAACGGCGCATCCCCCCTTCTCCCCGCTTTTCGCACCCATTTCACCCGTCTAACCCAATCAGCATCCCAAAACTATCTCTGCGAAGCATTATGGATCCTGTGCATCATAACATTTGGGCACGAAGCGATTATACGGGACGCTCACCTCCTTACACCCTCCCTGTTGGGATTACTTGATGAGACAAACCTCTTGAAGTATGTATTCCTGACATTGGATTTAAGACCTATTTTACTCGCATTTAAACTTTTTGCTGACCTTTAAACAGTCAGACAATAACGTCGGTTCTTGTCTCACTTGACACATACCCTCCCAAAACACGTACACACATTCTCGAATCCCTTCGCCGCTTTACGCACGTCCTACGTCCCAATTACCGTTTACTTGAACCACATGTTCGCGACCCAGTTACGCGACACGCGGCATTGGCATTGTGGGTCGGTGGGCCGGCGGAGGTGATTGAGACGGTGTTGGGCATTTGGATGCAAGTACGTGAGGAACGAGGGATTTGTGAAGAAGTTGTAAAGAGTATGGAGGGTGAGAAAGTTGTGTACGGGGTTTTGGAGTGGGTTCGACGGGCGGAGTTGACGAGTGAGGAGTGGAGTGTGTTGGCGGGTTTGGCAGGTATGCTCATCAGGTTTTTCTTTACCACTCTATATAAAACTGTTTAATTCATCGCACTTTTATTGACAAGGTCCATCGCATCGACCGCTCTTGGCTCGCCTTTTTTCCAAATCCCTCACACATCACCCTCCGACGCCCCTTGGATGCTACACCCTCCCAGCCATGCCAACCACCCCTCGCGACAAGACCCTCGTCCACATTTTTCAAACACATAGAGGATTATGGGGCGTATTGGACGTAATTGGCCAGGGTACGGTCATCATGAATCACAAACCAGACGTTATACTGAAATTCTTGTTTTGTCGTAGACTATGAAGCGACTGTATACGCAGTAGACGTGTTTCGGCCCCTCCTGGCATACAGCATCGCATTCTGGTCTCAATCCCATCGAAGTCCTTCTCAACACCCCTACGAGTTCGACAGCGCAGTTCGAGTGATCACATTACTGAGCAAGGTAATTTTTCATTTCATTCTATTCGTCATGATATTCGTAAACGATGCTCGTTACGATCACCTTCTCACGAGACATTCCTTTACAGTCCCAGATCCTGCCTGCTCCACTTGCACATGCTCATCTGATGGTGACGGATCTTTCACCCAAGGACCTGACAAGCATCCTCGGTATCTGCTGGGACATCTTCGCGCTCTACACCATCCCACCCCCTCCAAAGCCCCTCTCACCGTCCGACATACCCAACTGGAAACAACACTTGAAAACAGTGCAAGGCATCGTGAAGCGCCATGTACACCTGACGGCACCCTACATGGGCCTGTTTTTCTGAGCGTTAATGGGATGTCTTTTTGGGAAGGATTTTGGTCACCCATCGAATTAAATCCAGAGTAATCCCAACTGTGACGAAAATGCCTAGATTTTGTGTCAATCATTGAAGAGTGTCATATCAATGGCAAAAGCACGTACCTCCAATAATTCCACAAAGTCTCGTTAAGAAATGGAGAAAGCCCTGCCGAGACTCTGTAATCCGTACCAAAATCGGCTCAATCTCGTACTTTATAAATACACCTACTCAAATCATTCAACAACTCTCCCATATGCACTAGAAACCAAACAGGTTGCGCTGACCTGGTAACCCTCCTTGCTTATTATCCACCGTCAAGGACCGCGTATAATCCGTCACGGCATATTGACTCGTCAACAGCGCCCGTTTCCCAAACGCTCGATTTCGGTCAATGTAGACGGTTGGGACCTGCCGAAAACACGTTAGCGTATATGTATCACCAAATAAACAATATCGTACGTACAATGGCAATAAAATATTGAAACATGTCCATTTCTATAATACGTTAGTTGAGTTACTAATGTGGAATGCATCCGTGTACGTACTCGTTGACGCCATTTCGAGGGTCCGGTCCAAAGGATTTCGTAAACCGGGGTAATTGGGTCCAAACGACAAGCGATCAATGCGGTGTGTGAAGTTCATGGCTATCAGAAAAAGATGCTCGTTACGATGTGACATGACGTATTGTACGTTTATTTGCGTTTAGGTGCGTCTGGAGGTACCTTCATGTGGTGTATGTCCGCCAAAATACCCGTGTCCCAATGCAGTGAAATGTAGCATTCCCGAGACTTTATTGACGTTAATGGATCCTGTTATACGGCAGGCTTCTGTTTCCTCTCCTACTGCGAATGTGAGTATACATTTGGATATTTGTCATCTCTGAGATTCACCACCTCGCGTTGTGGATCCCCCATCATTCTCCCGATTCCGCATCGCTTGCCCGACGAGTTTGTGAATATCCATTTTGGGCTTATCGGACGTGTACCTTGTGTTGGTGGTTTGTCGGTTAGAGATTTCGTCAAGACGATTTGTGACTTTCCTCTATTCTCTTACCCTAACCGCCTCGTCCCCCGCGTTGCGAAAACTACCTGTGTAATAGATATAAGTACCAATATAAAATACTATACCAATACAACTAACCAACCTTTTCAACATTTAATGACTTTGAGACGGGTAACGACACCCCGGCCACATCCAACACATCTGCCCTCAAATCTAGAGGCCATTCCAATGACGTTAGCACCAGCCAAAGCTACACCAACCCATACTAGACATAACTCACAAGAACACGGCATTGCAATCGTTAAATCCATATTGATCTGCAAAGCATGCTCAGCACTTCTCGTCTCATCCACCACAAACTCATAATCTTGTCGAATGTCTCTGTACGCTTTGAATTCGCTAACGGCGAGATAGGCGAGTAAACCAGCTACGAGGAGAGTGACGAGACCGCCGGTATGCGTCGCATGTTGGATATTGCGTTGGACTTTTGGAAATGCGTCAAGGTTCGAGAGGCGCATGGCAGCATGACGATGGAAAGCAAAGAAATCATCAGTTGGGCAACTCCTCCAGACCAAGAGTCACGTGAGCAAGACAGGTTGTAGCTTTAATTTAATTAATGAGTTGCTGAGTCATACAGCAGGAAGTGGTCGCTTTGGGGCTTTTTGAACCATTGGAGATCTTGTTTAATTTTCATGAGCACGACGGCATCGCTTGACAATGTGCCGTTGACCGCCAGAGATGGAGCAGCACCAGCTCTTTCCGTCGAGTCAGCAACGTCTCCACTCCGCACATCCCCTCAAGTCTTTTTCGTAAAGCAACTCACGGTCCAATTCTTTTTCTCTCGGAATACACTGCTCTCCATCTCGCTGGATGCCGTATCGGTAGCCACCCAACCAGAAGAATGGAATGTATCCTCCAAACAGGCAGTATTGGACGAGGAGGATTTACCTCCCGGAACGGAGTTCGAGGCCCTAGACACTGTGGACGAGATTATTTATTTTGATATCGGGAAACTGCTAGGTAAGGTTGAACACTTTTGGTGTATGAGCGGGATGGCTAAACAGAGCTCACAAAAAAACCCCAATAGAAGACCAAGTGGAGGATGCCTCGCTTATTTTTCAGTTCAATACTCGAACCGGGGTGCATGTCTTTCAGGCGTTATCTGAAGAGCAAAAGGCCGAGATTGCCGCGTGTGTGAGGAAGGCAACGTCAGAAAAACATGCAATGCCGCTGGAAGTTGAAGGTATGTAATGGGTGTGCTAAGAAAGTGGTTTCTAGCCACATCATTTACGCTTTCTTCACTCGATAGCAAATGACCAGGACGAGGAGACTGTCAGCAGGTCAGTGCCGTACCTCACTGACTTGAATCTCCCTCCCCACCAACCCATACACATCTCCACTAGTATTGAACACTCTCTCGAACATTATACAACACTATGCGATACCTACGAAGTCCAACTCCAGTCAATCAAGGTCCGTTCTCAATTGACCATGCATTATGTCCATGCCCACGTCCGGAATCTGGCTCATTGAAAACTTAGACTGAACTCGAAGAAAAACCGAACTCTTGAAGTCTCTCGAGTCTAAATGGACTGAAGTCCACGAAACAAATACCGTATGTATATTCAACACTATTGTAGTGATTTTTCACACTAATATATCGCAATAGACACTTGTCGAAATGCTCGAAGAAATGCAACACCGAAACGAAATGCTGGCGGCGCGATTAGAGGATGCAAATAGATCAAGTCAAGATGCTGCCGATAAAATTGCAACAATGCAGAGACGAATGGATGAAAAGCGGAGATTGTTGAAGGAAAAGGGCGAGCTGGTAAGATGTTGGAATTATAATAAGATTGACTTTTTCTCATTTCGTTATGCACAGTTACAGAGAATTGGAGAGCGAATCACTAAACCCGATGATGGGATACGGCTGCAATGGCGACATGTAGCCGCAGGAGGTGACAATTTCTTGAACATTTCCACAAGAAAAACAAAATCCATTGACCTAACCGTCTGGACCAACACACAGCTGGCGCCCTCCTTTTCACAGCATTCGTCGCCCATTATATATGGCTCGTACTCGTCTTCACGCGTACAATGCGAGGTTGATACCAGATTGTATATCTATTAGATATCTTGTACATGTAACAGATTCGAACCATGCGTATATACATAATGTTTGAAGAATATGAACAGTTGGTTGGGATAAATAAAACTAATAGAATTGCTCAAGAGGCTTGCGTCCTGGATTGCCCGATGCTCCGCATTCGCATCTCTGCAAGCTGTTGTGCAAATGACTTTGCGCTTCGCACCAGCTAGAAAGCATAACATTTCAATCTTGGATGAACGCAAAGCTTCACATGCGATTGCAAAGGTAAAAGTACCTCTTCTTCCAGAGCCTTAACTCGGGCTTCTGCTCGCTCGGCTCGTGCCGACATTATGCTCAACTCGTGTCGATTCGCCTTGATTGATATATGAGCTTCCGATAAAATGAGAGACCGTTATGAGTGAAGAATACCTTTCTCGATTCATCTTCTTGTTCGGGGTTCCTGCATAAATGCCAACAGTACCATTAGATACTGGAAGTCAACAGAATGCACCGTACTGTAACGTACCGTGTCTCTTCATTTTCAGCTCCCGGTTGAGAAGTTTCTGTATCTCGCTTCCCGCTTTGCTGCTACATAGCTCTTTCAACACTTTAAATCTAAACAATCTACAAAATATCGAAACGTCTACCTTTTCCAATTTCAGTATCCGCTCTGATAGCGCGACATTTTCCTCTGCCAGTAGTTTACAAACTCCACTCTCAAATGTTTCGGGATCACGACATGCAGACTGGACAAATGCCGATAAACGGGTCTGCCCGCCTTGCACATCAGCTTGCAACGCCTCTTTTAGCAACTCTTCCAGCTTTTTGATGACTACTTCCTGTTTTTGCATGGCGAGTTTGAACTTTGATGCTTTTTCGAGCTTGTCCTATTGAATGAATCAGTCACACTTGTTTCCTTTTATAGCCGTACAAAGGTGCAGTCCTTACTTGTAGCTTTTGGAGATAGGCTTGTTGAGCTGTGTGTGCCTCCCGAATCTCCAAAAAACGTTTCTCAAGTTCGTTTCTCTTTAAAGAAGGGTAAGTACAATTTAATGTCCACCGTTACCGACTCAGCAAGATCATATGAACCTCAATAGTGGATCGATGAGCTTCTTCCAATTCATTTTGAAGTCTTTGATTGGCATGGACTTCTTTCTGAAGCTTGTGCACAAGGAGGGGTGAGTGGCGCAAAAGAAAAAGTCAAGGATGTCGAATGAATTGCGTATATCCCAAAAACACTAGCATAACACCACGAAGGATATAATATCGCCGGCGGAGTTCGTCAGATGACAGTACGTCTAGGTCGGATGTGTTCAAGAGTCGTGCAGTTCGCATGTCTGCATCGTCTAGCTTGTTTTCCAGTGTTCTTATTTTTGCCTGGTTGGATTTAACTTACAACCTGTTTTCGTCCAAAAGGAGTAGAGTGGGTAAACAAACCTCCAATCTCGCATTAATCTCCCTGACACGCAAAAGATCCTGCCCAACTTTCTTAACCGCTTCTGTCCTCGCATCCATTTCCTTGGTCAGCCGATCAATAAGCTGCTGGCGTTGTTCGATGTCCCGATACGTAAATGTAAGCTGCTTCACGTCCAGCTTCTGATCCCTGCCAAGGCAAAATAGTGTTACATTTTTTCGTTTGAATGAATTCAATGATTTAAGTCAAAGTCTAACGTTTCAAAGGACGCAGGTTTGACTTGTTCCGCCCCTCCGCGGTGAGCTCTGACCGTTTTCAGCAAACTGTCAAATCCCATAAAGTGCAAGGGACCAGTTCCAAATTGTTTGCTTTTGGAAGACGGCACCGGTTTCTATAAGAGTTCATCAGCACCCAGCAAGATTGAAAACAATTGTGAAGAGGAATCTCACCCAATCTTCTGGACAGTCTATTTCCAAGCTGATCTCTGCGTTGCGTGTCACAGGATGTTTGGAATACGGCGAAAAATATCGCACTTTGACAGCATCCAGAACAATAGGTTGACCTCCTTTGACCAAGTTGGACTGAAATAGTTCATCCAACGGAATGATAGAGTAGCCAAAGCAATGGTCGTTGCTCTGAGTGTATGGTCGTTGCTCCTCCAGTATCTCAAAAGCTTCTTGAGGTGGTGGTGCTTCACGATAGAATTCAATGCAGAGACACGTTCGGTCGGTGATATCTTCCTTATGGATGCGGGAATTGATTACATGCTCTCATTTTTTTTGGCAAAATGTCAATGATAGTGGCCATACATGATCCAATACGAAAGTAAATGGCTGTCTCCAGACTGGGTTCATGCTTGACTCGCAAGAGGGCGTTATCTGATAGTACTGATCACGCGTGCTTCGACTGCGATATTGGTTTTGATATACCAAGTGAGGAATGGACATGTCCTCCATGGGATTACCAGAGAGTAGCTGTCCATGAGAGTCAAACTCTAATTGGAGATGGGGCTGTAGTTGTTGCTGCAGGATGTCTTCCTGAAAAGCTGCATCAGCAAGTCTGTCTGTACATTCAAAATTTAACACGAACTGCTGTCGACTTACCCGCTCAAGCAAGTACTTCGGATCATCGATTTTCAGCACAGCATATACCCGCATGGGTGACGGTAAAGTTTCACTGACAAACTCTCTCAGCACACCGCCAACAACAACTACTGGCTTGTCATACTCTCGCCGTAGATCAATGGTGCGCGTAAAGCCAGGATTCAGATTTGTCAAGCTCACTAATAGGTGGGGCGACGGATCATTGTCTTCCATGTTGGACTTTAAGAGGAGAGTCACCTGTCGATGAGATGGCAGCCATACCCGGGAGATGGGCAGAATGTAGCGGGCAAAAATGCGCCTGGTTCCTCCGTCTGCTACCGTGAGCTGAAGTTCAAAGCCATGGGACACGTCGTACGGCTCTGAAAGCTCCATAATGAGATGTACTCCAAAGGACGGCTCACTGTGCGAATACAACTGTGCTTAACTCAAGCTTCTCTCCACATGTCATTGCAACCTCTCAACTCACCGACAAGGGGGAGCAAGAGGTGTAGCGGCCTTCTGCTTTGGTCCACTCTTTCTCGTCTTGGCAATAACGAATGCTCTTGGTAACATCCGCTTCCCAGTTCCTGGATCCAGTACGAATGGAATATTCCACACCTTGTGTACAATAATGACCAGCCGTTGTCCCCCTGGGTTCGGCGGATGGTCTTTATGTGATGACGAACGAGAAGTTGGATGCTCAGCCTTCTTTTTTACAACTTTGGCTGGGAGTGGTGGCATCTGCTCATCTGCAATACGTTCCCACTCCTGGGAGACTTTATGCGACCCATTGGAAGGATTACGTTGTCTTGGCTCCTTTGCACTTTCATCACCTCTGGCCTCCTTTGACGGTTCCGCACTATCTACAGGTTTGCCAGGTTCTACAAGCAGCTGGATTCGCGCCCTTCCAATAGGCTCATCATCATCTGTACGAGCCATAAATCCATATGACGATACATGCCGCTCGCCGCCCAAAAGCCGTTCGAGGACGGTTTGGGCTGGTATGATAATATCCCCAACCACTTCCACAGTCCCTTTCTCTCGACGGATTCTGCATGCTGTGCATACCAATTCAAATGAATCTTCCTGTCCACCAGATTTGAGCCAGCGGAAACTCTGCTTGCGTTTATCGACAGCTGATGCCGGTAGCTCAAAATGGAAGGTGGTTTCTTTAAAATCAGGACTGGAGGATGTGGGCGACACGTCTGTGCGGTGTGTTGTCTCACCAAATCCCTTTGGACCCCGCAAGGATATCCAGATAAAATAGTTTGCTGGACTGTAAAACGAGACTTTGGATATTGTAACGACCAGATGCGTAGATTCCTTTCGCATTTTTGCCAATTCCTGAGGGCGGAAGTTGAACGGCTTACTCGATCATTACGCCTGGAAATCCGCATGAATTCACGTGTCAGGCCCTCAACGAGAACAACGAAGCCGTTCGCGTTTTTTGGTGACTTTCTTACTGCCCGATGGTCGTTTTTCTTTGACGACGATTTCGTTTTTCTTTGTTGAAAACTGCCTTCTCATTCCCTGCTGGTTATAAGCCCTGACGGAGGTACCCGGCTGAGCGACTCATTGTCGAATTCCAGTCATCGCGTCAACCCGGACAAGAGAGAGTGTGAAACCCCGGACGTCATCCTTCCAAATTGAGTTGCCATCTCACGACTTGTAACTCTTACAGTACGTTGGGAGTGTACACTTGAACGCAACATTCAGGAACTTTTTTGTAATCCTCTGTAACGCGCATGTCCTTTTGGAAAAAGGAAACGAGCTGTCATCATACCCTTCGTGTTCCGTATATCCTCGCCACTGTTGGTGGCGGACTACAACCTCACACCCCCATACCCCGACCATCCGCTCGTTTCCTTGAAATATGTCGTCGTATATTGATCCCGAGGAACTATATACCAAGCAAGGTAGAACACTGTGTGCTTGTGCTTGTAGCTGAGCGCAGAGATGCCTAGAGTCATTTTTTTCTTTCTGGATACAACAGATCGCATTGGGAAGGGTTCTTTTGGCGAAGTGAGTATCAGGGTATATTGGACGGGTGCAATGCAGCTCTCCGTCTTGTTGGGGCGGGGAAATTTTGCAAAAGGGCAATTGTTTTCAGAGAGATTTGCAACGTTTCCTGATATCATGAACCATTCTTTTTCATATCCTAGGTGTACAAGGGCATTGACAAACGAACCGGAGAACCCGTTGCGATAAAGATTATCGATCTAGAAGGTGGTGCAGCCCTCCTCGCTTCGATCCGAACGATCTCAGCACTGAATGTCTAAATTCTGCTAGATGCCGAGGATGAGATAGAGGATATCCAACAGGAGATCAGTATTCTGTCCCAGTTAGATTCCTCTCATATCACGAAATACCATGGATCGTTTACAAAAGGATCAAGTCTGTGGATCGTAATGGAGTATTGTCAGGGAGGATCTTGTTTGGATTTGGTAGGTGTACTGGGATCCGGGAAACGTGGACTTTGGGCAGTTGCTAGAGGGCCATGTCAGGTCCATTACAGATCCATTCATAGCAACCGCTCACAAAGCTCCCATAAGTAGATGCGAGCAGGAACTTTCGAAGAGGTCTTCATTGCGATTATTTTGCGAGAATTGTTGAAGGGTTTGGAATATTTGCATGGGGAGGGCAAACTGCATCGCGACATCAAGGCTGCGAATATACTGCTTGCGGCAGATGGAAGTGTGAAGCTTGCCGACTTTGGGGTATCTGGTCAACTGACCGCTACGATGACCAAGAAGAATACCTTTGTCGGTACCCCGTTTTGGATGGCACCAGGTGCGGCTCGAAATGAGTTCTTTTAATTTGAGGCTTGCTATCTAAAACTTCTTTTTCCAGAGGTATGCAGAGGCGGCTTTTAGCAATAGTATTACTAGGAACACGTCTCATATGTGGGTCTGTCTTGACCGCAGGTGATAAAACAATCGGGTTATAACGATAAGGCGGATATTTGGAGTCTGGGGATCACAGCCATTGAACTCGCAAAAGGAGAACCACCATACGCAGATCTGCACCCGATGCGGGTACTGTTCCTCATCCCCAAAAATGATCCACCCCAATTGGAGGGTAATTACTCGAAGGCGTTCAAAGAGTTCGTTGCATTGTGTCTCCACAAGGAGATAGATCAGGTTGGCTGTTTTAAATTACCAAAGATGCTCGCATTGCTGTCTTCTGACACTCCACCTATCGCCAGCGACCACCGGCAAAGGAGCTGCTTAAGCATCGATTCATTAAGGCAGCTAAAAAGACATCATTCCTCACCGAGCTAATCGAGCGCCACGAACAATGGTTGGCAGAGGGAGGAAATGACAAGGACGGCTCATCCGATGAAGAGGACGAAGACTCTAGGTTGGTGGACGAGGTCTCATGATTCTTTGCCTCGCCGACATCATTTTTTTTAACCTGTTGCGCGTTGCACACAGTTTGGATGAGGACGATTCCGAGGGAGGATGGAATTTTGGTACTGTTAGAGGAGGAGGAGGGACGGTCGGCAAGGCTGCAACTAGACTACAGGCGGCCAATCTGCTACCGCCACTCAACCGTCCGGTGGTGGCGGGAGGGGGACCACAAGTGCAAGTGACACATGTAGAAGGGGAGGGCTCTTCCTCCCAATTACCAGGGGGCACTGTGCGATCAAAAATTTCGCCCGCAGCCTCTTCCAAAGATCCAGTAAGCAAATATCACAGGTAGCGTTGATATAGGCCAGTAACTAATGCAGCTACTGCATAGAATCGATCAAGAGACTCGAGTTTCGGCAATGGAACTGTGCGCGGAGCATCTCCAAGTGTGGATTTCGTAGAGAAGGTTGTGACTCCTGCCATTGCAAAAGTAGCAAAAGGCTCCCAGGGATCTTCTCTCACCTCATTGAAAAAAGCCTTTGAACTTGCGGAACAGGTATGTTGACAACTGTACGCATAGACAACATGAGTCGGTCTAATGCATACTTTGACACCTTTCAGGAACACCCAGGGATAGTGCAGCAATTGTTGGTGGAAATGATGGACAAATTGGAAATACGATAAGTGGGGATTCATTTTGGGAAAAGACAAAAGAAAGATGCTTTAGGGACCTATGGGGGCTCTCCATTTTTCAATTTGCTGTTTATTTTGTAATTTACCCTCATGATATATAGTCAGTCTCAGTGGGTTTGGTTTCTACCCATTTTTCGCCTAAATGGGTCACTCGTTTTCCCAGTCTGCTATTGGAGAGATGAGATACTCAACAAACTCAATGTCCTTCTCATTGACGTTTATCATGAACTTTTTCCACGTAGCGACAAGAATTAGCATGCAGCGCGTGGGCATTCTCCAAGATAGCATTCTGTACTTACTTGCATGCTCAAAAATCCCGCTTCATTAACACGAATCGACGTTTTTGAAGAAAGGCTCAAGGCTTTCAGACATGACTGTAGTAGAGTATGCTGATAGTGGTTTTCGATAGGATGGAGACAATGAAAAGACTCTATCACATCTGTGTCTTTCGGATAATCCATTTGAGCATCACCTGCTAAACTGGAAGCAGAGAGACGGAAGTAGGGTGCATCTGGAGAAATGTGGAGCGTGATCGTGTCTGATGTGCCGTCCAGTTCTGAAAAGGCGTCTCTGAGCCAATCTGACTGGAAATCATTTAATGAAGCTACGAGCATATTTTTGCATCAAGAAGAACGTGATCGAGCCCAACCTACCTTCATAATCAGTTTGCTGACCATGCGCTGCTCTGCGAATGTTGAAAAAAGATCCGTGAGCGCTTCAGGATTGTATGTCGTCAAACGACATTCTGTTACTACGCCGCGTTCTTCCAACCTTCGTAAGAGAAGAGTGAGATGATGCAAAAGCGCTCCCACAATTAATGATGGGATTTCTTACATGAGGGAAAGATGATCGCCATCCAACGGGCATATTACTCGCACCGCAACTCGATCCCTATCCTTCCCCAACCCGCCGGTTTGGGTATCTTGAATTTGACTCGCGCCAAAAAAGCCTCCGTGACCCCGCTGCCCGCCGTCATTCCCACCCGTCGATAAAGAATATGGAATAGCACTGGTACCGCCAAAAATCGTTAAGCAGTCCAGTAGGGTAGGGAGCTCGATGCAAAAGCATATTTCACTATCAATGTCACCACTGTCATCACCGTTTGGCGACCCGAGGCGGCTGCGTGGGAAGAGAAATTCGCGGAAATGCGACTCTCTGATCTGCGTCCGCGCTTGGGAGGCCTTTGACTCTTCGACAATGAATTGAATGCCTTGTCTATTTATAACGCAGTTGGCTTTCTACATGTTATGAAAATATGTAATGTCCAATGTGAGGGGACTCCTCTTGAAAGGGGCCGGCATATGATCAACGAAACGTACTTCCTTGAAGGAGATGGCCTTGAGGATCGTGACTAGAGACCGAACGTTGTCAAGCTTGCCCTTAAAGTGGCTCGATGCATTTGCTGTGCTTCGTCCGGATAAAAAAGCATCTTGAGCCATGCGACGGTCCGGGGAGGGACAGCGGCACAATCAGTCAGATCACCAAATGTGCGATTTTGTACGAATTGAGGGCACAGCAGTGTAGGAGCGACAATAATAATGCTATTGAAGGGGGGTCAATGAATTTCCAACTCTTCGACGGTTGGCCAGCAAAATGTCTAGTCGTGAATTCGAGACTTGCTCTGTCCTGATTTCTGCAGATTCCACGCGTTAAACCATCCAACTGCAACCAGCGAAATGTCGACTAGTGAATACGATGTATCATCTACCATGTTTATCGAAAACAACTCTCAGCAAAAGGTTTGAAAGGAATAACACTCATATACCATCAATCTCTTCTTGTTCGGTTGATGGCCATACTGGATGTGATTAGGGTACGACCTTACGACAAACCCAATTGAACAACAGCGAAATGGAAAATGGTCCTTACTTCACGTATTTGAGAAGAAGAACATATCAAATGCTATGGAACAATGTCAGCAGATCGACTACAAATCAAACTCTATTCTGAATTGAAATGGTCCGGGGGGTTTTTTTCCTCATCTAAATGGACAATAGAAAGGAGTGGAAGGCAACTGCTGACATCACTGGCAATGGTATCGTCGCCTGCATCGGAGATTGATCTCGTTTTCAATTTTGCTGTGACGTACCATGGGCAGCAAGAAGGAAACCTTACAAAAGGTAATAGCGACGAGTATCCTGAGAATTGTTGCACGTTATTGGGGCAAGGTTTGGTCTTCAGATGGAGGAAAATGATTCTGAACCGCAAAGCGCAAGTACGAAATCGATCATCTTGTGCCAGCAGTTATTCGCGATATCAGATCCCTCTTCATCATCTATTGCACACATTTGAAATTCGTGTCGTTGCGAGAAAGCATCCGGCGGCCAACGTGGGATTACGACACACGCAATAGCATTTTCGATAGCTCCCGAACAGACGACTTTGGCAAAAACGTCCCTCAGGTGGCGTGGCGTGGCATCGATGTGGCGCGGTTCACTTAACACTGTGCCACATGCGCGTTTCTCCGGTCGCCGCGAGATCAGGTTGCACCTCTGGGCATCTAATGGTTAAGAAAGAGCAGTAAGTGTCATATAGCGCGCTGGTAAAGTGTGCCCCTCCGCGGCAAATGAATCGCCGTCTTTTAGCTGTTGGTCGCATGTTTCCATCCTAAAGATAAAATATTAAATAGCAGTGGATGTATCGCCGGTCACCATTGTAGTGTGCTCGATCTTAGATTGCAACTGCATACGACTGGTTGTTTATCTTGGCATTGCGTCAACGCCCCAACTCTACATGGAAATAACTCATACGTGCTGAACTTCCGGTTGTTCATATTCCAATCAACGGCCACAACTAAAAAGGGGCCAGCTTTCCCCCTCTTAGCTACTCGGTACCTACGAAATGTACTTGTTCTCCGCAGCACACTTCTCGCCCTATCAATGACAAGATATCTCTACTTTGCTGTTTGTCCCGTCCCTGATGCTTTCTCCCAACCTTCGCATTGATCTTTCTACGAAGCGTCGTCATGGGTCTTAGCATTTCAGTCGAATGTCGGACGGTAAAGGACATAATAAGTGGTTAAGCAACGACTCAAGTCGTTTTCAGAATGTGGATATGGCAGAGGTTTTTAGAACGACCCGTGGCTGCAATCGACACTACCTCCTGTAGACTGCTGTTCTCACCACAGCGATGGCACTGAGGCACGTGCTCTGGATTCCCTTACTGACACTGTTTACGAATTTGAAGCATATTCAGGTATCGAACTTTTCCACACAAATATGCGCTATAGCCAAAATAGTAGGAATGCCAAAATCCACCACCTGTTGAGAGATCAGATGAGATTTCTTATTCGCGACATTCTCCTTTAGCACACCGCCATCTTCTTTATTACGAAACATCATCCAGGTGAGGCAGTATCGTGCAAATGTACTCGGCGGCCACCATTCACCTGCTAGTCGAGTTCGCATATCAATTTAAAATCAGCGAATGGGAGAATATTTGCAAAAACTTGCTCCAGCTGAAGAAAAATGTGAACCGGTACACATTTGAAAGAAGGCAGTAGCAATTCCATTAAATACTATGGTATAATGGAAGGAGTGGTGTTATTGTTCCCGCCAATGTCGATCTGCTACCAGATCAGATCCCACTTACCTTCTATCTGGAGACCGCTTGCTGGCTTCTCTTTGGGATAGTGTAGGACACAATGACAGGTATGACAGCAATGTAGCGGTTCTAAAGGACTAGGTGACCTAGCTAAAGACATGTAGTGGACTGTCGTCGCTCGTTGTAGTTGATCGATTACGTAATGATCGTAGGCTCTGAAATTTTTTTGACGAGAAAAGCAGGTCCATTAGGCTTGTCTGATCTCTTTTGCAAAAGCACATTAACGCTCTGGACGATGCCTCCAATACCAGAAGAGACAATGTCATCACAAAGCTTGCACTTCACAGCTTCGGCTCCTGCTGCCACCGCCAAGTCCGTCTCAAAAGGTCGTGATACGGTGCTAACACTAGTCGTCGATGCAGCCCCGCTTATTAAAGGCACCCCATTGGGCCACTTGGCTGAGGGCTTCATCACAATTCCCGAAGTCTTAAAAGAAATACGGGATCGCCAAGCTCGGCAGGCACTTGCACAGTTGCATTTTGATTTGGAAACACGGGTCCCGTCAGAAGAAGCTATGGCGGCTGTGATTTCATTTTCCAAAAAAACTGGAGACTTTGCGTCTCTCTCGGCGACTGACCTTAAGGTGTTGGCGCTGACTTGGATGATTGAAAAGGAAGTTAGAGGAGTGGAGCATTTGAGGACTGAACCCGTGAACCCGCATGCGCGGAAGGGTGGAAAGTCAAATTCTAAAACAAATCAGCAACCAGCAGCACAAAAGAGTGAGGAGGGCGCAGCGTCTATCAATAACGCTGAGGTAACAACACGCACTATAGAACAGAAGGATCCTGGTTTGAATGGCGAGCAAGATGAAAAGCGGGAACTGGAGCAGAAGCGAGAATTGGAGGAAAGCAGTGCGGAAAAGGCAGTGAACGAACACGAGGAACCCACGCATGATGCTGATGAGGAAGTAGAGGTGATAGAGTCGGATGAGGATGAGGAGGTGGAAGGGAATGAGGATGACCGAGAAGAGAGTGAAGAGGATGATGAAGATGAGGTAGTGGACGAAGAGGGCGATGCACCAACAGACGCGGAGATACAAGCAGCACAACAGAGACTAGAAGCTTTGTCGTTAAGTCGTAAAGAGAACGAGTCAATCCCAACTCCTACTATGGATGAACATGAAGACGCGGATGATCAGGGAGAATGGATATCGACATCCAGAAATGGGCGAAAGTCCAAATCCAAAGGACGGAATCTAGGAGACGAAGAGGGTTGGATCACACCCGCCAATGTGCAAAAACACAAAGCGCGGCATTTGTTTGGAACCCCACAAAGCAAACAACAAAAGGCACCCGAGGTCATTCCGGTTGCTTGTATTACCTCGGATTTTGCTATGCAGGTAATGGCTTTTTTGTGCATGTCTTTGTTGCGACTCTTCGTCCTTCTCACACAATCATCTACCATGTTTTCATTAGAATGTACTATTACAAATGGGTCTACGACTTCTTTCTGTTGACGGAGTCACTATCACACGTGTGAAAAACTTTGTCCTTCGTTGTCATGCTTGTTACAAGTAAGCCCTCATTTGAGCAATTCCTCCCATCATCTCATGCTAATCACCGGATATGTACCATTAGAGTCACGAAAGATATGGAAAAGAAGTTTTGCCCGTCCTGCGGCAACAGTACTCTCATCCGCACGACTGTTGGCGTCGATTCAGATGGGAAGGTTACATACTACTTGAAGAAGAACTTCCAGTATAATACCCGAGGGACAAAGGTAACATTCGAATGTATTTATATTTGAGTGTCCTCTTTATTTATATATACCTCCATATTCTCTAGTACAACATTCCACTCCCAAAAGGCGGTCGACAGAACGATGACTTACTTCTTCGTGAGGATCAACGAGAATATCAGCGTGCATTGAATTACCAACGACGGGCGAAAACCTCTGTGGATCCTTTTGATCTTGATTTCGTTCCATTGGATGGGAAAACTGGTTCTCATAGGGGGGGAATGCCCACTATTGGGCACGGAAGGAAGAATGTAAATGTGGCCAAGAAGAGTCGTCAGAAGCGAAGATGAGAATCTGTAGCATTGGTTGTTAATTAGCTGTTAGATATCTCGAGAAGTGTAGACAGCGTATATATAGAGATGTTGAGTGGTCTATTACTGCTTTATCATGTTGATTTTCTTTCTTTCAATCATCATACTATGTGAATAGTCTCCTTATCCAAGCTTTCAATCTTACGTACGCAGATTTAAACTACAATGCTTGCTTCATCTCCTGGACCTTCTGTTGGTACAGCTTTTCCGCATCCGTCCAGACTCGCGCATTCTTGCGATCACGTAATTCCAATATGCTCGGGAGTAGGTCACTGCAGAACATTTCGCTGGCCTCCCGAGGAAGAAGTGTTGGCAAGTGATCAATGGCAACGACATCCAATGGTGCAGCATTACTATGTAAAAGCAAATTAGTCCGTTGCTTAAAATCCACCAATTTCCACTGCTTTCACTCACGGGACATCGACAACAAGGACAGGCTCGTCAAATGTGGTGGCATCATGGTAGACTGGGATAGGGTTATGAGGGTTGGTTGTATCGCAGCTGACATCCACCAGTACAGAGAGTGGGCGATCCTTTTCGGCCAAGAGGTCTTTGGTCAAGAATGGTGGGATGGGCTTTGAGAGATAAATGCAGTTGACAAAAACATCGTGTTGGGTGATCTCACGGAAAGGTCCACCAGCTGCCGTTTCGGCCATGTCCCACTTAATAATGTTCTCCCTATAGGGATTAGAATTTAACATCGATCACATGGCCGCTAGTTCTGCGTCAAGTGCTATTGACAACATACTCGGGAATGCCAACTCGACGGGCAAAATCGGCAGCACCAGTTCCGCATCGGCCTAAGGCTCCCATTACCATCACTCGTGGCAATCGGCCGGCCTTCTTGGCTGATGCATGCGGGGAAGACTTGAGTCAGTACATTCAATCATGCAAGCATCACCAGCACAATCGTACCAGCAGCGTCCAATCGTTCCTTGACAAATTTGATCAAGTCATTCTCGTGCTCAAAGGGCTTGGCGGTTGGGTACTTCTCATCCCCGTTCAATTGCTTATGGCTCCAGACATCAATACCAATTGCAGATCCCGCAAAACCAGCGTAATAACCGAAAGCAGCCACACGACGTCCTGAAATCGGTATGCAGGTCAGTATGAGCTGGCAGATCTGCCAATTCAAACACTGATTTTGCCGCACTCACCTTTATCATCCTGAAGGAACTCAAGGTCCAAAAGCAAGCCGTGCCCACGATCGAACCTGCCAAGGACATCCTTCCAACCGCCCTGCTGTTTGTAACAGTGGGCAAACATTATGTGCTTGTGAGGAAGGGGGGTTGTGTCATTCTCTGGGAGTTCCTTCAAGCCAACAATGTAGGCATCCGCAGGAGCCGTTCGCCATGTTCCTGTTTCCACAAGCTCACAGCCGACACTGAAAACAAAACTCGTCAGGATCGATCGTCAGTTGGCAAGTGTATTAGTAGCGCTACATACTCAACGTAGTCCTGGTCCTTGAATATACGTTCTGTGCATTTCTCGACAGTAATCTTAAAACCTATAGAATTGTTCAAATATGAGTCTTTCAAGCAACGCATACTATCCTTCGCTTGAAAACAACCAACCTGCGGCAAGAAGCTTTTTGCAGACTGTAGGCGTAAGAGCTGTCCTGCGCTCGTTCTTTTTGGTTTCAGCACGGAGCCATAAATGCACAGGTTCAGTTGACGAAGACATCTTTGCAAAAAACAGATGGACGGCAGACGAGTTGCTCCTGGGTTCGTTTTTAAGCACCGAATCTCCAAACTGAGAGATCATGACTCATGAATAGTGCACTCGAATGTATCTTAATGCAATCCATCCATGCACATGACATACGCGACGGTGCGTTGCTTTGCGCTTTCGTTGACGGTTGGGCAAGATTGCAAGGCAATTCACAACGACTTTGCTTCTTGGAGGAGAGTGAAGCCTCTTTTAAATCATGCGGTCTGGTCAGGAATTATGGTATGCGGTTAATACTGGTCAATACTGGTGCCAACGCACAGCTTACACCCTACGCCCATAGCGTTGGCTGGAACAACGTATTCTCTGATCCGATGCTGTCGATGGACCGATTGAAGGAGAGAGGGATAGCAGGAGACATTGGGGATGATGACCTCAGAAGTCTTTACTGGAAGGTTAGCAAGAGATTATATGAAAATGCCCTCCCGGGAAGCATTAAAGAATAACGCACTCGACAAAACCTAGATTTTTCTCGAGTACCTTCCTAGTTTGAGCAAAGATGCATGGCCTCTGATTTTATCCAAGGAGAGGCAGGGATATACTGATCTGAAGACCAAATTCATGTTTGATCCGAACAAAGCAGCGGAACAAGCGAATGACTGGTCTCTTAACAATCCACTAAGTTTAGCGGACGAGGTAGGGACGCGGGAAGACACTCTGAACGCAAGGCATCGGGCTTGTCTCTGTGGATTGATCGCACTAACAATCTGCTTAGAGTCCGTGGACTCAATATTTTAAGGACGTGGATTTACAGAAAGTGATACGACAGGACGTTGAACGAACGTACGTACCGACTATACTGAGAGCTCAGCGCAAACGTAGGATCGTGATCTTACAGTTTTTTTTTCATTCATAGGTTTCCGGATCAGCCCATCTTTCGCACTCAGCAAATACAAGACATTATGACTGCCATTTTATTTATATGGTGCAAACTGAACCCAGATGTATCCTATCGACAAGGAATGCATGAGCTATTGGCTCCGATTCTCTTAGTCGTGGACCACGATAAACTAGATCCTCAAAATGATACCTCAGCGTACGAAAGATTTTGCATCGTTTAAGATGTTAAAGCTCATTCACTCACGACATCGGTGATACCGAATGTTCCAGATTAGATCCTGTTCTTGTGACGACATTTGACGCCAAATATGTGGAGCACGACGCCGCGGTGCTCTTTTATCGCCTTATGCGAGCTACAAAGCCATGGTTCGAAGTTGGCCCCGATTTAGGTCCTTCTCGGCCTTCGCGCGTGATTCAAAAGTCGAATTATGCAGAGCACCGACGAGGACAAGAGGTGCATAGTGCAAGCTTATTACCCAAACATTCTAGATATTGAATATGAAACTTAGGATGCTGGTAAACAAGTTCCGATTGTCGCGTTTTGTCGGCGAGTCCAACACGATCTCCTTCGAGTTCTGGACTTTGACCTGTATCAGCATCTGGAGAAGCAAGGAATCGAGCCACAACTGTATGGAATGTACGTATCTCATCGTGACGCCCTTGCATATATCCTTGAATCCTTTCTCAGACGCTCTTTTTAGACGTTGGCTACGCTTGCTGTTTGGCAGGGAGTTCCCTATCCCCGAACTCTTCGTGCTCTGGGATGGTATCTTTGCAGATGATCCTAACCTAGGATTGGTCGAATGGCTGTGCATCGCACTACTCTTGTACTTGAGGAAAGACTGTGAGTTTTCATGTCCCTGCTTTAGTATGCGTTTCTGTGCTGATACCTCACATGCCCCAGTGGTGGGTCAAGAATATGCAATTACCATGCATCGCTTGATGAAGTTCCCATCACCAGACAAATTGACCACTACGGTTTCGGAATTCATTCGAAGCGCTCGCGGCCTGCGCGATCGGTACAATCACCATGCTCTGTTCCTTAGTTCCAACTCTAGCCGTCCAAATTCCACCCCTTCTTCTCCTACCCGCGCTCAATACGCCGAGCCAAATATACGACCCCCATCCAAAAAGCGTACCACAGTCCCATGGTCAAATCACACAGCCAATCCAATACCTGAGAAACCTGTCCGAAGCCCCTCTGCGTCACAGTTTTCGGGATCCGTTACAACTTCCTATCCTCCAATGCGCAAAGGAAGCTACACGGAGACAGTGCCTGCATCGCCGACTCAAGTTCCGTCCTCGCCTGGTGCGGACGGCAAGCAGCAGCAGCTACAATTGCAGCTTGCCCATCTCACACGGCAGGTACAGCAATTCCGAGAGCGGGACCGGGAGTTTGCCCGAAAGATTTCACGGTGGATCGACACAGTGTCTGACGTGCTGGATGATGAGACTGATGCTCGATTGGGGACAAGGGCTGAGCAGCTACGAGGGATTGTCGACGAAATGCAAGTGATTGCGAATGAGCTGCACCCTGGAAGACCAGAGTCCGCTCGACGTGCACCAAAAGAGGACAAGGACACCGCTCAACGAGAAGCAGGTGACGATGAAAAACATATGCCATCACCTATTCAGGAATCCACACCAAGTGTTGAGCAAGCAAAAGCCGAAGGACCTGCAGCTGTTCATGTAGAGCAGGCCACTGTGCCCACGACCGGAACACCAGACTTGAGTGGTCCAGCGCAGTCTGCAGTCGAGGACTCAGTTGATAATGAGACTACAGGTGTCAATCCATCACGTGCACCTCCTTCAAATTTGCAGAATATTCGTTGGGGAAGCTCGACTGATATACGCAATGCCCCAGCCAAGCCCTTGACTTCGCATGCTGCACCTCCCGAACCGCTGAACAAGCAGCAATCTCAAAGCAGCATCCAAGGCTACACGAGCGCGCCATCCCCTATACCCTCTCCCTCACGAGTAGCAGCCAGTACAGATCCGTGGGCTTCTGAAACCACCGATATGATCGTCGGGACAGTAAAGGCTGGCGTCACAGGGATCAATAAGGTTCTTATGGGCCTTTTTGAAGACCCATGGGCTGATCACGGTGTTCTCGCTGGCAGAGGTGGAGGAGCGGGGCGTCGTCGGGGTAGTTCTAGAGATATAAGGGAAGGTCGAGAGCTCGGACCTGTAAACTACCCTAGCAATGTTGAGGATAAAGTTGACAACGAGGAAGAAGGTGGTAATGTTGTAAAGGAAGCCTCCTCAGTGGGGACAGCATCTGGTGGGCGACCAACTACAGCTCCAAAGGCTGCTTCGACGCTGGATGCTACGAGAGTTCAATCTCCGGCCCGAGATCCACTGGGAGCAGGCTTTGCTCGTGGCACTGCTGGCAGTACGACAGTTACACGGCGCCGAACAGAGTCTGCAGAGGTGGACCCTCTAGGTCTTCCATAATATAACAGCATAGTCACCGCTGATGGCCGCACGCTTTTGAGCCAAATCTGCTATTGATGCTATTTCCAATGTTATTGATCAAAAGTGCAACTTATAAACACCAAAGCCCCTTAGAGTGATTGTTTAATGCAAAGTTTCTGCTTTTGAGTAGTAGACTCTTGGAAATAGATTATTATCCTGCAGTGTAATCTTGATACTGGTGTATAACGCTCTGATTGATGGCTCACAAAAGATTAAGGTTGCTGTGTTTCAAATATACAATGAGGGGCACTCCACAACACGTATACACACACCCTGCCTATTCCCATCCTTTTCTACTTGTAAAAATGTTCAATGTGGACTATGCAAGTCACCAGTCTTTGGATCTGGATCTAGCAACTGCGCTAGATCTTCCTGTAGCACCTGCAGGTCATCAAATCTGAGATTCTCTAATGACGTTATTACGCCTGTGCTCCCGCTGTCAAAATACTCCGTTTCATACTGCTCTAGATATTTGGCTGTTGACCCACCGTAAGGTTCCGTATCTGGAGGTTCCCCCGAGATACTTGCAAAATCCGCGTTCAGGTCTGGATACGTATAATGCGTTTCGAATTGTGTGTCTTCTTCCTGTAAGACGTCCCCATGATTTTCCAGTTGGTCAAATAACGATGGTCTTCTGGTTGTCCCGTCCTCGGGCCAGGCTACCATGTCTGGGTGAATAGAGGGCACAGTCGAAAATAAGGATGGAGGTCTTGATGAGTCACACGGGCGAACAGTAGCGTGACAATCCGTCATTCTTGCGAATGCTCGCTCTAGGTTGAAGGAGCTTATTGTGGAGATGTCCACGGCTGACAGTTGTGAATCTACACCAGTGGCATCACTAAAGAGAGGTGTGGAGGGGATCGACTGGCTTGATATCGGACGCACGGTAGCCTCATTATCCAAAATAGAACCTAGTCCTTCTGCAGGATCGAACGGTGTGGGAGGGGGAGGGGACGGTGTTTCGTCGAAAGGCGAGGATCCCGGCGCAAAAGATGATAATGACATAGGTGGTGCACTACTTGGCCGTACTGTCATTTCATTGTCCGCAACATTCGCCAACGCTCTTACAGTCATCTCATTGTCAGTAACGTGTGCCAACGCCTGCATGGCTCGCATCGCCAGGTCGTTTTCGACTGTATCTGGTAAATAGTTTTGGTCCGGATGGGGTGGAAAGAGGAGGGTCTGGTCGTCAAATGCCACAGGACCAGATACAGATATCCGTGGAACATCCGCATCAGGCCATACAAACGGTGATTGTTCCCCGCTCGCACTCCCCGCAAGGCCGTCCACATCACCGAGTCCTCCAGAGAAAGTTGCCTCTCCAAAAGGACTTGAAAGCTGAGGGCTGAGAAGGCTTTCATAGTCACCATTTCCGTCAGGCATTGACGATGGAAGAGATATATCGGCCAAATATCGACTGAGTAGATGGACATCGACAGGATTGTACTCTTCGGGGACGCCGACGAAATGAGAGCCCCGCTCGTCCCATTGCCCTTCGGACCAATCTGAATGATCGTCTCCTACAGAGGAGCCCGAGTAGACAGATCCATAAGACTATCATCGCATGCAGATATGTAAGTCAAAGGCCCACAAGGAAAATCTTCTCAAAATAAACTACACAAACCGCGGAATGAAACAGTCCAAGATCGTCCGATTCAATGTGCGGACTGCTTGCAGTATGCACGTCAGGTACAGGTTGGAGAGCCGGTGACGCCGATAGGTCGACTGACTGTGGCAGGTTGATACTTGAATGGGACGACCGAATAGAACGCCGTCTGCTGATGGAACCTTTTCTGCTGACAGAACTCTTCCTAGAGGCACTACGGCTCAAGCTGGAAGTGTCTGACGACGCTCTGTCTCCTACTGGACCATGCCCGGTCTTCATGTAATGTTTCCGTAGATCATGCTACAGGCGCACCTGTTGTCAGAGTTGCACCTTTGGCAAAGACGATCAGGGAAACGTGAATACATACTGGCCACTTGAATGATTTTGTGCATGTCTAGGCAGCAGAGAACGCAACCTTGTCAAAAAAAATTGCGCATTGCAAGACTACTTGTGCAAAACACAGTGGTACCTCACAAGGATTTGCCTTGAGCGGCACATGAGAGCGCAAACTAAACGAATAAAGAGTTGATACAGAAGCTTGGTAGTAGGCTAACCAAGGTTATGCGCAACAGAAAAATACATACTGTGAAGTAATGTGATCCCTCTTTGAGAATGCCGTGGAACCCTGTGGACAGCCGTGGACCCTGCAATACAAGCATAAGTTCCCAGTGGTCTTGCGCCCAACATGTTCTTCTGTAAGGTGAGTGTAGAGAGCTTCAGGATCCGTAAAGGGCCGACCGCATAACGTTGAGTCGAGTAACGTCCAAGCACAGCGGTGAACCGTTACTCGCGGGTAAGGACTGGAGCGCACACTAGAGTGTTCAGACCCAACGTCCGAGACGAAAGAAGGTTCGATGGTAAGTAGAGAGTGGTCGACGTTATCAGCAGGGGTCTCCATTGTCTCGGAGACGGGCTGCCACCCGTGAAAACAACGACGCCGAATGCAAGTGTCAAAGAAACAAAACGACAACGAAAGGGCCAAAAAGCGGCAGTTGAAATGCCTTGTTTCGTTCCAAAACTGTGCCACAATATGTCATGTGACCAAATATCGGTGAGGCCCACGAATAACAATTATAGATATTTAATAACGAGGCTTTGTTTTGGGATATCTACTTGGATGCTACTAGCAGGCTACGAGCAGATATCAATGTCGACTTTGGGATAGCTATCGTCGTATTTCTGATAGTGCAGCATTGTAAAAAGAGCTAGAGAACTCGGAACGAAAGCTGCAAGTAGAGGATATAATTTCGGTAAATCTGAGTTGGGCTTTTTGGTGACGAAATCACGAACGATCCCATTTGGAATGCCAAATTCACCAACTCCAAACACTTGCAAATAAGACCAACGACTCGATAGATTTTGGTACATGAACCGCTTTCTCCTTCTCCAAGATTCAACATGAGCGATAGACAATCAATCGTCTTTGTGCGCTCCAATCCCCGGACTGTTGTTCTCCGCCCGGCTGTAAATGTATCACAGACAGCATTGGTATTCGAATGCATAGAAGGTGGCGTTAGAACAAGGTCGACTGCCCGTTTCCAGCCGTCGGATACTCTTGATTTTTCAACCTTTGAGCTGCTCCAAGCGCGGCCCGTCTTTGGCTGCCTTGGTTTGGTACAAGTCGGCAACGGTAAGCACTTAGTTTGCAAGTCCTTGTTGTTTAAAGGCAGATACTCAACTGCGAATGTATCATTTTCCTTGCAAACAGACCTTTTTATTGGAATTGTTACAGAAGCTACCAAGGTGGGAGCGCCCTCTTGTTGGTTTATGGACGGCGATTCTCATTGATGCTTGGGCATGTAACAGGTCGGAGACCTTGAGAGTGCACCGATATATCGCATTCAGAGAGTTGCCTTCTACTCTCTCCTCTCCGATAGATATGACCTTTCGGCTCAAACTTTACCCATTGACGGAAATCCAGACGAAACATCTGTTGCGACGATACATCCATGCCAACCTCTTATCAAGCTGCTGTCTACCGGTTCGTTCTACTTTAGCCCAACATTAGATCTGACCCGATCGGCACAGAAGCGTTCCGTGGATGTTCAGCAGGGGGGATCGGCTGTGAATATTTTTGACAATGCCGATGCTCACTTTGTCTGGAACAAGCACTTGTTGAGTGGATTGCTGCAGATAAGGGAGCAGGAACTGTCAGCTCCGGAGAGAGAAGACCTTCTTGCGGGAGGTTTACTAGTATTGGCCATTCAGGGTTACGTTGGGATGGTTGACTTCACAATCGGGAGTTTACCTTGTCGAATGGCTGTGATATCGCGGCTTAGCTGCAAAAGAGCTGGAACTCGTTTACTTTCGAGAGGGGTGAATGATGACGGGCATGTATCGAACTTTGTCGAGGTACGAGGCAGAATTACCTCCATGATGGTCGCGCTGAAGATCTCACACAGCCCATATTGTCTCTTTTCCCGTTAAGACGGAGTTCCTTCTGTATGGCGCGCATTCAACCTTTTCCTTCCTTCAGATTCGTGGAAGTGGTACGGGATGTCGTGTTGAGTAGATACCTTTTACATAATTGCAAATAATCTCACACGCTTCTTATCCCAGTGCCAGGTAGAGTGGCGGCTGTACATAACTGACTGAAACTTTCGTTGACCGCAGTTATATCCTATTTACATGTGCATGCAGTGTTTTGGGAGCAAACGGGGATTCAGGTTTGTGGAGTAAAAGAAATGTGGACTGTGTGCGTTTTTAACGATTATCCTGTAGATGACGCATAAAGTAACCATATCGAGAGGGGCCGAGTCTTCTGCTCCGGCGACAAGAAAACACTTTGAGGTACTACCTTTCCGTTACCAACACGATGTTGACGTTGACAACAGGACATGCTCTCACCGTATGCGATTAGGAACTGATATCGCGATATAACAAAATCCATGTGATCAACCTGTTAGGACAAAAAGATGGCTCGAGTGAGCAGATGCTCAGTGAGCTGTTCCGCCAGAGCATATCCAAGATGATTGATCTTAGCGATGCTCTTGCATATACGGAATTTGATTTTCACGCCATTATAAAACGAGAGGGCTATGAACGGGTAAGTTTCCGCTTAGTCAAAGGACCCTTACAGTATCCTAATGGCGCTCTGGAATAGTTGAGCGAGCTAGTGGCTTTGCTCCGACGGCCGTTAGAGGACTATTCGTACTTCCTGGCAGATGCAGATGCGGGTAGTACGATCTTCAATCAGCAAGGCGTTGTGCGCACAAACTGCCTTGATTGCCTTGACAGGACGAATGTTGTGCAAACGTATGCTTTTGATAAGAGTACGTAAAGTCAAACGGCTCTCTTACCTGTCCTTCTTCCGTAGGCGATTGGCACGACATGCTTTGGAAGGGTATTTGAGGCAGGTTGATCGCCGCTTTACACCGATTGAAGAGGACAACTTTGCAATACTTTTCAATGGGCTTTGGGCTGATGTACAGTGAAGTGCATACTAGATGTAACCATTCACACTTCCGTCGACTAATCCATTTCGTAATAGAATGGAGATTGGCTGAGCAAGATATACGGTGAGATCATTCAGATAGCTGGTCTTCATTTTGTCTGGGATCGCAGTTTTAACATTATATTTAGCGGGCACCGGTGCACTAAAGTCATCTTACACCCGCAAGGGCAAATCGACCGTGTTAGGTAAGTCAGCTTCCTTGGACTACAAGAGGCAGTGCGACCATGCAAATGAACATAATGTACAGGCTTTCTTGACGACGCTGCCAAATCGGTCAATCGGTTTTACATTAACAACTTCCAAGACAAAACAAGGTACGTTAGGCCACTACAGCGATACTCGCACGAATAACTCAATTTGCGGCCACATCAGACAAGAAGCGATCGATCTACTCCTTGGAAAGCTCGCAAATGCTGACACTGTCCTTCTGCGGAATCCATTGCACGATGCGGTGGCGAAGGAGATGCACAAGCGGTATGCTATAAGATTGAGAGTATCCGTAGGATGAGGGCGTTAACCCTTTATTTTTGGTTCGTCGCATCTTACAGCCTGCCAGAGGTACGTCCTGTTGTCTGCCTTTGGTTTTATGAGTAATACTCAAATACATCTGTTTATAGTATTCGTCTTCCGCTCGCGTCACGATGTTCCTAGGGACGTGGAATGTTAATGGGAAGCACGGTCGTGGGGAGAACATGGATTCGTGGTTAAAATCAGATAAAGGTGACTTGATACTCGTTCCAAACCATCTCGGAGGTTCAACTAAATGGTAACGCGTGAACTGTAGTCGAGTTTCCACATTTGTACGCGATAGGCATTCAGGAGCTTATTGAGCTTACACCTGGTCAGGTATGACGTGTTTGAAATGGAGCGATGTCATTACACCAGAGCAATTAACGTCAGTTTAGTATATATCGGCTGATACAAATAAGCTACGACTCGACTGGGAGGCCACGTTGATGCGAGCCATAAACGGACGACCTGGAGCAAACTATGTTCTCCTGCGATCCTTGCACTTGGTAGCGCTGGGCATTTTTGTTTTTGTCCGCGCAGATTCGGTGAACATGATTCGGCATGTAGAAAGCTCTACCAAAAAGACCGGTCTGGGAGGCATGGCCGCCAATAAAGGTGGCATCGGTATCAGTTTTAGCATCAATGACACCAGCGTCGCTCTGGTTACTGCCCATTTGGCGGCTGGTCAGAGTAATGTGGATGAACGAAATCGAGATTACTGGACAATCCATGATGGACTGAATTTCCGTGGAAGGAGATTAGCAGAACATGATATGACGTTCTGGTTCGGTGACTTCAACTACCGGATCAGTGCTCCAAACGAAGAAGTTCGCAGACGGGTCGGCCACAAAGAGCTCGACTACTTGTACCTCAATGACCAACTCAATGAGCAACGAGCCTCTGGTGGCGCATTTGAAGGATACCAGGAGGGTGCTATAACCTTTGATCCGACCTACAAGTATGATAACGGTACGACCATCTATGACACGAGCGAAAAGGCTCGTGCACCGGCATGGACGGACCGGATACTTTTCAAAGGTCGCCATATACTATTGCGAGAGTATGCCAGGGGAGAAAGTCTCATATCCGATCACAGACCCGTTCGAGCGGTGTTTGAACTAGACAGTGTCATTATTGACCGAGATCGAAAGGATGTACTTCAAAAGGAGATATACAAGGAGAAAATGGCCAGCAAAGATCTCCCACCACCTTTGCCCGTCCGGCCACAAGGTCCACCGCCAAAGATCCAGCGGCCTCCATCCACAGGACTCCTTATTGACCTCGCGGAGGATACAAATCCACAACCGCAACAAACATCCATCTTTCCAAGCGAGACAACACGTAAGCCTTTCAGGTGATTAACGTTAATGGCACGCTGCATGCTAACATAATAGTTCCGTAAAGCCGCATCCACAAGCATCGGTGCTGCTCTCGGTTTCCGCGACTCTTTCCCACCAGCACGACCCGATTCCTTCCCACCAACCAAAAGCCTCGATTCCTCATTACCTCCTCCATCATCTGATACTTACAAATGGTGGGAACGGCAAATTGATGATGCATGGATACCTAGGGAAGGCGATGGCAAGGTTCGTGTTGGTATATCGCTCATGACCCGTGAGAGCATTAGATTAATCGGCTGCTCAATGCAGAACCCATTTTACACATTCCCATCCCAGTCTACGTCATCCATTAACTCTCAGCAACCTCTGGCCCCCCAACTGCCTCCGGCTGGCCGCTCCTTCACCGTCCCTTCAAACACCTTCAACCGACCCCCACAGACAGCGTCTGCAACTCCACGATCATATACTGTGTCTTCATCCGTGTCGGCAAGTAAACATAACCCTTTCTTGGATCCACCCAGGAATACCAACCCTTCGATGGATGTGGCGACTGGCGGATTCCCCGACTCCACAGAAAATAGTTCACGGCAGGGAACGGGGCGTGGGAAGTTGAATCCTGAGCTCATACAGTTGTTTGGACAAGGTGCATAGGACGATGAAAGATTAGGGTTACCAGTTTTGGCAGTTTTAAACTATTATTTATCTGATACAAGCATCTGATAATCTCCTGTCCACAAATAGTTACCATCTAAAAAAAAAAAAAAAATCACTGTTCCATTCCAATAATTACATTGGCCACCATATTCATAGGCCAGTACACATAGCAGATGAACGGCAACAACCAAGCGCCATACAATGTCCACCCATCTACAACTTTGCCAGCAACACCTTGCGCAACGTCCAATCCCTCCCATAGTGACATAATACCTAGCAAACCAAGCGGGGAAGCCAAGGTAACAGCGGCCACGTTCAACAGAAATCGGTAATGACTTTCAGTTGGTCTCGCGAGGAGAAATGCTGGTACGCTGGGAATGGCGAGAAATACCGAGAGACTTGGATTTAACGTTGATAATGCAATTAATGCGGCGCCCAGTTCCGCACACCCCAAGCACTTCAAGATCAGCCAAGCGGGTGCGGTGGTTCTCGTGCTTGCACCTGAACCCTCCATCATTCGCTGCAGTGTTGGGATCATAAAGCTGTAGATTGTCGCTGTAACGACTACAACGGCTGCTGCCATATTAAATGGCTACAAAAAATGATGACTGAATGAGAATTTGCAATAACCTATTTCAGGCAAAACATCCATACGTACATTGACCTCCCCAATAAGCGCCATAAACCGCACAGTAGGTGCTAGGTAAAACGCAATCGCTCCCGCCGCATGACACAGGACTAGAGTCACAACCGGTAAAAACAAAGGGCGGATACGGATATTAAATGCCGATATATCGGCCGGATGATTCGCAACTTCTGTTCCTTCGATCAAGTTTGGTCGCGCCGGTGGACTTTGATGGAGGTCGCCAGACGCCCACCACATCACCAATGACTGTCCATGAGATTACCATCAATTGCTGCGCATTCACGAATCGTCACTTTGTCTTCATACCTCAATAACCAACGTCACAGAGAGTAGAATTACAGGCGGTATGTAGACCGATAATGGAATGAAAGACTGTGCAGTGGGCATGATATAGAACCAATACGCATGATGGAGTCTTTCAAGCAAGTTATTCAAGCTTCTCAAAGCTGATTCAATTGCTCTAAACAAGAATGAATAAGTACATGCAAATAAAAAGTAGATATCTCAGCCTTACCGTCCAATCTGATGCCCAGTGATCGGGTATTGGGTCCCTTTCACATCATGAAGACCCCTTACTGTCATGGCTTCAATGTGGTATCTAGTACTACATTAGGATCATACGCGGACTCTTGCAATATCCAGATGCAATACCTCGCATATAACGCATGGCTTGCAGTAGGAACACCAAGAGCCTGGCTCTTCATGTATTCAAGAATGATGTCCGCCTTATGGAAGTAGCTGGACCAGTTATCGTCAAACTTATTCGGTGAGACAACATTGTGAATTCCAACAGGGAGTCCCTCATATTGCGCGCATCGGACGACGGTGGTGACCAGATCGGCATTTGGCAGTAGGCCATTCAAACCATCTGAGATAAAAAGATAATTTTAATACCTATGGACGACTTTGATCGGCAAAACATTCCTAGAGTTTTTACCTACAAGGATTCCCACCGCTGAATATGCTCCGTTACCATCAAATTCCAAATTAATAGCTTCATGAATGACACCCCCGTGTCTGTCAAGCGGATCGTATTGCAACCCTGAAACAATCGTCCTTTAGCCGATCAACCGATGGAAATCATCTACCAAGTTAGAGGAGCTTACATGATGAAAGGTCGCTCTGGACGCCATGGTAGGCTTCGAGCCATGCTTGAGTTCCAATCGGACTGGGGTGTGTGACCAAAAATATAAAGTCCTTGGCCCAATGCGAAAATCCTAGGGGTTTGCGTTAGGTAAAGTTATTTGCGTATACAAGAACGGGATGTCTGATGCTTACTTGTCACGAATTTTGCAAACGCCAATACATAGCTAACCCCCTCGGCATTTACTAAAAGACGATTGGTAAAATCCATACGAGCATTACGAATATGCATGGAGAGAAAGTGCTTACCGGCGCCATTTTCCAATAGCCACGGTGCCGATATGACAATCGCCTCTGTCCCATCGCCTCGGGGAGCGCGGAAAACCGCGTAAGAATTTGCTCCGGAAACTATTTCATCATGGCGCGCATGCAGAAAGTTCTGAGTTGACGCATCCAATCCAAAGCTGCGAAATTCCTGCTCAAGAAATTCTGCGTGCCTAGTTGAAAGATCTTTATATAAGCTCAACAGTTTCCATATGCGAATGAGATGCACAAAGTTCTAAGATCACGTTGACCAGAACAAAGCACCGCATTATCTCTTTCCGAAAAGGAGAGTCATTAATAGCAAGATCTCATACATACCCGGACACATTCTTGGAGGGATCCCCCATTGTTCGTATCTGATCTCGATAGCTAGTGGCCACCCATAAGTCAAGATCGCCAAAATACTTTGAAGTCTGCCAACACACATCACTTGATTACTGCCGACGCTATGCAATGGACAGCACGCTCATAGAATAGCGCACTCACCTGCCCTGGTAGCAACGCATTTTCGTCGACCTTCGCGACGTGATGGAATTCGTCTCGGGGCAAGAGAAGCAACCACAAGAGTCCAACAACGTAAAATATCCAACTATTCATTGCAACCCATTAGTACTATTCCTGTTATCCCTGACAGACGGAAACAATCATCCATAGTTCTTTAGGAGCCCACACTTGAACATGCAGTAAGACCCACCTCGAAGAAGAAATGACTTTCTGCAGGTAATACCCGACAACTCTGCGAAAATGAATCCTCCTCAGCTCCTTTGCGAGCTTGGGCGGCGAAGGAGCCGCTGCCGTCGCGGACCGCTTGAAACGCAGCATTTCAGTTCCTTTAGCAGGTCCACCTCTAGCCTGGCTGGAAAGTTGACTCCATGTTGAGTGAGTCATGCTTATGTAAGCAGTCGGAGCAGAGGAGAAACAGCACTTGGTTTGCCCCTAAGCGATACCATGGAATTGAGGGTATAGGCGACCCTTTTGAAAAATGCTATGTAGCCCGCTCTTCACCGTTTAATAGTGTACAGCAGACTCTTTTTCGAATAGTACGCAGCTCGGGACTACGTTTCCGATAGTGACTATTGGAAGATGTCGTCCAGGAACGAACTCACCCCGAGCATAAGCTTATCGCCTGATTCGGCCATGAATCTTCCTGGACGATTTTCACGAAGCAAGCGGCCGAGCAAGTCAAAGAAAGAAGATCTACCTCCAAAGGAAACTCACCAGAAGATCGAAAGGCTCACGAAACGGAGTTTGTACGAACGGCTAACCTATGCTCTGGACATTCTTGTGCCGGAAGATGAGCCGGAGACTATGGTGGTCCCTGCTGGACATTTTTTGCAACAGGTCCACTATGGAAAGATACATCGGTGGAGGGTGGCCCAGAATGAATTTGCGAATTTGCCGGAATATCTCATTGACCATCGAGAGAAAGAGCCCCACTACAATGTCTTTGTAAAGAGCGAAGGATGGTTCCCAATCTTTGACCTAACGTCAGCCTTTTTGAAGAGATGGGATATGCTATCCTTAATCTTGCTTATCTTCACAGCATCGGTTACACCCTTCGAGACTGCGTAAGTAGGACGGGACATTGGATCTCTTGATTATGAGACAGGCTGGCTGTTTATCTTGCTTTCGCTACAAATCAAAACTTATCAGCCCGCTTTTTGCAATAGATTCATCGCGAGCGACAACTCTATCAATATCATGTTCTTGATCAACCGCGTGGTTGACCTCGTCTTCTTCGTTGATATGTTCGTCCAAATTCGAACTCCCTATCGCGATCCTCAAACCGGGAGACTCGTCCGAGATGGCAAATCAATTCTGCTTCGGTACCTGAAATCGTGGTTTCTTATTGACTTGGTATCTGTAATACCTTTCGAGCTTGTGAACATGGGTCAAGGAGGGGGAAAGAAGAACTTGAATCAACTGAGACTTTTACGGTTTTTACGACTTGCGCGTCTGTTGAAACTGCTTCGAGTCCTTCGAGCTAGCCGCAAGTTGAAACAATGGCAAGTGCATATAAACTTGCGTTACGCGACATTGAAGGTCCTCCAGGTAAGTCAAATAGAGTGTTTCGGAAATTTCAACAAGTTGACTGATTGAACGCATGTAGTATTGCATCATCATCATGTTCGTCATTCACTGGCTTGCATGCGGATACCGGTTGGCGGACGAGCAAAACGCTCCAACGGATCCTCCAGGATGGCTAGCAAACTACGCGACTTACGCCAACGTATCTCTTTCCTCTATCTCACCCTGGGAAGCTTACGTCTTGGCAGTCTATTGGAGTTCGTCTACGTTCAGCTTGGTTGGGCCCCAATGGGAAGTCATCGCACCAACGACAGTTAGAGAAACCGGCTATGCGTTCTTTGCTACGTTTGTATCTTATATAACTGCGCTGTATTTGATTGGCTCCCTGGTCAACATATTGGGTATCGCCAATCGAGTGCAGAGGGAACATGATCTACGAGTCGATAACTATCTCGAGATGTTCGACCGTCTCAAGTTAGACCAGCGACTGAAGATCAAGGTGCACGAATATCTCTCGGATCATTTTGCTGCTGCAACCACTCAGGCGTACACAAATCTTCTGAAAGACCTTCCTACCCAATTACATGGGTTTATTACAATGGAGATCTTTGTTGATTTTATTGGTCAAATACCCTACCTCGAACCATTTATCGATCGAGAGCCGTCCATGACGCAGGAACTCTGTCGCGGAATTGAGATTCGGACCATCCCAGCGAATGCGCACATTTTCACTGAAGGGTATGAGGGAATCTACTACTTGGAACATGGAATTGTGGCAATCGAAGGAAGGGTGTATCCCAGGTAAAAAAAGAAAGTTTCTTATCGCGACATGCTCTCTCTCTCTCATTCCTCCTCTCACTGATATATTTCTGCAGCGGAAGCGTCTTTGGGCGAACTTCTCTACGTGAAAATATCAAGCAAAGCGAGTGCAGGGCATTAACCAACGTGACAATCCACGTCTTGCCCCTAACGATCTTGAAGAGCACTTTGGAAAGGAACCCAAAGATTCGATACTACGCCAAGCGATGGATAGCATGGCAGCTATTGAGGCGATACATATTCACGTATACGACTTTATACTACACTGCCGCGAAGAGGGGTGCAAGAATGATCCCGCCGCTCATGTCGATGAGGCCGAACTTGAAGGAAGGCGAATTCGACGATATTGACCTCGCGGTTCTTGAGCATATCAATGAATTCAATTATTAGTTGTATCTTAATGATGGACCGATCGTTCATAATTGAACATGTGGCATTAGTGTAAAACATGGCCCTTCTAGAGGGAAAAAGCTTCAATGAATTGTGCTTTTATAAACATGCTCGTTTGTAAGCAACATTTAGATGGAGATGAGGAGTCCTTTCACGATTGGCATCCGAAGCAAAGACTACAAAATCTAAAACGGTGACCCGCTAGTAGTGTGAAGCTTGGCCTTTTTTGAACGAGATAAACAGTAATATTAAAGGTGCGATATGTTGTTAGTCAAACAATAGGACAACGGGCGCACTGCTAATGAACAATGGCAGCTGTATTGATGAATAATGGGCACTTAAGCACAGGTTGAGTTAAACTACTGTCAACAAAGAAAAGGAACCCGCATGTTTCTTGGAAATGGGGCTCATGAACCTGGAGATTTCCAAAGTTGGTGGACTCTCCGATAGTCGAGATGGATGACGTGAGCTCACGGTATCGCACGATCTTGATCATGGCTTACGAAAATCACCCTGCCGGTCTTCCCCACAGTTCATGGCATTGCACTTGGCATTCCAGTTTATACAAGAGCAAATATGATAAACGGCAGCTGTTTATGCGGCGATGTTCAATATGAATACACTGGGGAACTGGGAAGCATGACCGTTTGTCACTGCGGGTCTTGTCGCAAAGGTATAGGGCTGTAGTTTTTGGATTCGCATCTGCATTAGCCTCATATCAATAATTTTAGCGCAAGGACATAGTTGCGTTGCTGTAGTAGTAGATGCTACGCTTTTTAAATGGACGCATGGGCAGAAATGCATTAGAGAGTTTGAGTCTACGATCGGGAAGAAAAGAGCGTTCTGTGAACGCTGCGGAACTCCTTTGTATTCGCGTAGAGATGATCTTCCGACTGTCTTGAGGTATGTAATTCGTGGTTCTATAGTCGCATTTGTGGGTAGCTGACTCAATACTCGCAGACTACGGATGGGAACAGTGGATACACCCACTGACGCAACACCCGTTGCGCACATTTATGCCACAGACGTGCCAGCTTGGGCAGCACTGGACGATGACATTCCGCGGTACTCGGAACTAGAGCCAAGCCGAATGTAGTTGTCGCAAGGGAGTTAACTTCTGGCTTGCACATCAAGTGCAGTCTATTGCGATGCACTCTAATTCGCACTGCTATTTACATGCATTACAGACTAAGATATAACTAGAAACATCGCCAACATACAATCTAGATGATTTGCAAGTAATTTGACGGAGCAATTCCAACTGCTCCTGATGGTGTGCGAACCTGCCACCATTTGCCCTGACTGCTCAACACCTCCAGCACGTCGCCTTTAGCGAATGAGACTTCGGTCGGGTCTTCAGGATTGGCTTC